AGTCTATTTTACTGCTTGGAAGTCTGTGCTCACACTGAAAAGCAGAGTGCAGTTGCTGGCATTGAGATTGAGGTCTTTGGAAGTAATGCAGTAAAATGCGTGTAAATTAGTTTTTGTTTTACATTGGAAATGCCATCCTAGAGATCTCCTGATGGTTGGCTTACAATCAAGTTCAGAAATATTCTCCAATGCAGATTAACCACAAACCTGTCACTTTTAAAGAGTAAGTGAAATGATGGAGTAAAACAGGTAGGGGAGAAACCCTTCTTGGTAGAATGTTTATGAGAGAAACTGATGGCAGATGCACAGATCTCAGCCTCAGACAAAACTAGGTGTAGCCTTGCTATTCTCCAACCTTCCTGCACTGCTGATCCTCCCTATAAGAGAACACCTGCCAAGAGAAATAAATGAGAGTGATGCTTTAAAAGCTTAGTACCAATACTTCTGTTAATAACTGAATGCATTGCAAACACCATCTTCAGTGCCCAAAATTTATTGACGTTAGCCTAAAATGTGAAAGAAGTCAGCATTCTACAATAATGAACTTAATTTAAAATTTTAAATTGAAACGGAACAATACAAACACTTCAAAAGATTTTTGCTTAAAGCATCTTCCATAAAGGGATGAAAAATGGGAGATGGGGATGTAAATCCCAAAGGAGGATAAGAGAATTATGCAGGGATACAATTGGTGTTACCGATGTGATTGATCTTTTCTGAGCTAAGCTGCATGGATTTTTCAAGAGCTGTGAGTTAGCGTACCCATATATGGTAGTGAAAGATGAAAATGGTTAAGTTGTATATAATTAAAGCTGACAGCTAGAATCTATTAACATCACCTTTACTCTGGTATGAGTATTTTCTAAATGTGTTAAAGAGATCAGAAGGCAAAAGTTTGAACCTCTAGATTGCTATAGCGACCTTTGCGTATTGCGCAGGAAAAAATTTAAATCAGTTGTGTTTCCACACCAGGAATTTGTGACTTCTATTGTATTTTGGTATTATGAGGAATAAAAATCATTTGTGTTGATGGAAGCAACCCTTTTATCACAAAACCTAACACTACTGATGACGGAAACTGTGGCCAGAAGATGAGTGGTGGTTTATCTGTGCACTGGGACTGTAAGGCTTGTTTCAGATAATGAATTGCTAGCAGTTCCTCTTTATCTGTCTTATAAAAGACTGTATCTTATTTATTTGTTGCTTTAATCTATGCAAGATGACTCTGTGACGTGTTGGATTTCAGGTAGTTTATCTTTTTTTCCTGAGACACAAAGAACAAAATGTGAACTCCTCAGAAGCTTCCTGACCTCTGATGTCAGACACTGGCTTAGCATGGCTTCCAACACTGTAACATCCCTGTGCAAAACTGGGAGTAGCAGATGATAAAACATGATTGTGCAGCCAGACAGGCTGGAGAAATGGGCAAACAGGAGTAACCCCTGACATTCGGATGGGCTGGAGGCCAACTGTCAGTAAATCAGCTTTGCAGAAGAAGACTTGAAGGTCCTGGAGGACAAGTTGAGGAAGAGCCAACAGTGTGCCAGTGCAGCCTTTCTTAATGCCAGGTTTGGCTGATTGCTTAGTAGTTAAATAAAGCAAACATTGTTACTTGGAACTTTTTTGCTTTACAGTGATTTTAAGGAGCATTACTCAGAGTGGAGTTCCATACAATGATACATGTATTATTGCCCACTTTTTGTTGTAGAACATTATCTCAGATACTCCGATTTTTCCAGGGGTTGCAGCTCTGAGAAGTTCTGTTCTGTATTATTTTATGTCTAAGAATTACTGAAGATAGAGAGAAACTGTGCATCTTGCATTGTTTTATTTCTTTCAGAAGTGTAGCCTCACTGGACAAGATACTGATGCAGTAAGACAGTATTTTGTTGCATATTTTATGTTCTGGGAAGGGATATTTATATCTACTCTTTGGCCCAGATTCTGGAACAGCCGCCAGTTTCACAAACAGCAACAATTATGTGCTAAAAGGAGAATAGAACTGCTTAGAATCGAAATTCCCTATGGAATATATATATGGAGAGAGAAAGAGTGTGTGTGCATGTATGTTTGGGGGAAGAGAAGAAATGAGGGAGAGATAATTCTGATGTTGCTCTTTATGCTCTTAAAAACTAACTTTTTTTTGGTCAGTATTTTTTTCATGATTGTGTTCTTCAGTGCTTTCATACCATGCATTTTTTCCTGTTCAGTTTTTCTTTTTAAAATCCATGAACTGATGTTTGAAGTTATTTTTCCATATGCATTAGTAATGTTATTTTCCCCCTATGTGAATAACATCATGAAAGTAGAAAAAACCCATCTGTTTCAGAAGAAAGTCAAAGCTGACCAAAATAAATTCTGTAATTTGAGTCGATTGCTGACAGGCAGTGGTCTGTTAGCATTTTCCATCCCTCTGTCTCCACCACCTTCTGTTGCAGTGGCAGAGTGCCTGTGGGCAGAGTATCAATGATTTAGTCTTCATTGCTACAGAGGAGTCCATTCCTTCATGAACGAGCTGAAAATCCAGGCACTTCTCTAAATGTAGGCTTTTATTAAATAAAGTGAAAAAAAGTGTTCTGCATTCTTGTAACTACGAACTCGGAATTTGAGACTCAGTTCATGGAGGATCTTTTCTGAAGCTCACTAATACCACTGTAAAAATTGCCATTGACTTTGCTATGTGACTGATTTTAAAAAACAAAGAACTGTTGCTTGTGCCTTATTGTTGGAAATCTCACCAGTAGAGGCGTATTTCATTGCTTCAGGCTTTGTTCATTTGTTGATCAAGATAAGAATAAAAAACCTCATGCTTATGGTAATAATATACCAAATATCCGTCCTTCTGCTTAGAATCATGAGCAAACTCTTCTCCAATTGATTAAATATAGAAATTCAGAACTAGAGTGTGTTAGGTGAGATGTTTACTGTCAGGAATACATCTTCATTTACCTAGATGAAATAAGAATGCTAAATAGTTTAAAACTGTATGTTTCAGATAACTGGAATTTTTAAAGAATCTGCTCACTTTTGATAGTGATGTTTTGGATAGCCAAGTTTATATGGTGGACCAGAACAGTCACTAGTGTAGTGTTGTTGGAAGTTAAGCTGGATCTCATGGCTTCCCAGTGTTCTCTCTGGGAGAAAATAGGGGGCCTTGGGATAGGAAGGCACAATATAAAAAGCAAATAAATTCAACAACAGTGTATTATTTTGGTTAGTGTGTCATTGCAAACCACATAGAGATTTTTTATAAGGCCTGGGATGTGGGATGATTTACAGGGTGTACATTCAGTGCTCCTCTTTATATGGCTTTGAAAAAAACCCAAACAATGAAACATGGGTGAGATACAGCTTTGTTTACTCTGAGAGTTTTTTACTGTAATGAAGAATAAATATGTGGAGTTTGACTTTACTGCCTGTGTGCCTGACTTTCTGGTACATGCAGTTTGTGTCCTATCATGCTGATTCTGCACGAGAAGTTAAGCCTGAGGGCATTACAAGCTGGAGGATCACAAGTGTTAGGAGAACCCTCCTGTCCCTTCTCCTTGTCATTGAGATCATTATGAAACTCTCCTGGACTTGTCATGATACTGAGGTGTCGAGACCTCAGCTTTCTAAAAATTCTCAAAGTCACCATGGCTGGAGGCATAAAAATGTCAGTAGCTTGTCATGGCCCCTTCTTGATTCTCCAGAGTTATCCTAGGTTTTGGGCAGTGTGTAAGTTCTCTTGAGCAACCACAGAAGTGCAGTGTGTGTCTGGTAATGTTCTGTGTGTCCGTGTGTTGGGGTGAGATGTACAGACTGCACTAATCATAATTCATGGGGGTTACACTGAGATGAGCTGTCAGGATGAAAAGGAGAAAGAGAAGCTTTAGTATGGGTTCATATTTTTAAGATAAAAGTAAGAAAGCTGTATTGTTTATTGTTCTTTCATAAATAGTATATGGATATCTAAAATGTATGTGGCAGTTCTGTAATCTTATGTGGGAATTCCTACCAAAGTGCAAAGGAATGTGCTTGAATGGATATGAGCTTCATGAACAAAGCCACAGTTGTAGAATGCACTCAAATGTATATTATAAAAGAGGATTTTTTTAAAAAGGTAAGATTAAAGAATATGCAGTACCACTGGAAAGAATTAGGATGTTGTATTTGACATCATAGGTGTAGTCCTTGTCAAATCTAGTTAAGAAACAGCTGCTGAAATGCACTGGTAAAATGTCACAATGAATACTTCCAAAGAACTTCCTGTACAAAAGATTTAAGTTGGATTTCTGTCAGCTTTGTCCGTGTCATCAGAACTAACCTTTGTGCCCTTTCTAACTGCTTCTTGCCCTGGTTTTCTTTCATTCATATGGTGTTCTGGGTGTCTGAATACAGGCTGGAAAATAAAAAGGCCCTAAGACCTGTGTGTGTTAGGAAAAAAAAATCTTAATTTGAGAAGGGACAGTACTGATTTTGCTAAGCTGCTCTGCAGATACTATTTGCTTTGAATGTTTTCTCTGAATGTATTTTGCTGAATCTCTCCTTTCAAGCTCTGGCTTACTGACAGTTCTGCACTTTGGGCCTCTAACTGGATACCCCTAGTTACAATTCTGCATTTCCTAGCTAGGGAATGAATGCTGGATTTTCACATCACAGAGCATGACCAGTGTATAACGTGGTGTGGTAACTTTGTGGTGCAGTTTCAATCAGCTATACACTCTCAATAGCCTCTCTGTTGGATTAGGGAAGTTTTGGAATTTAATACTGTACCTTGGCAGGTCACCTCTTACAGGAAGCCATGTATTTACTTTGGCTGTGTGTCTGTCTGCTCACTCTGCATAAATTGATCTATCAAGTGTACAAGAAAAGTTGTTTATCTTTTGCCAGTTAATTCAATTTCTTTATTGTTTTAATTTAAGTAATTTTTTGTATCTGGGCCTCTTGAAACAGAAAGCCAAGAAAACTTCTATTTTAAATACTACTTGCTGAAATAGTTTTTTGTCTCCCTCCTTCAGATGAGAACTCTCCGGCCAATTTCTGGGATTCCAAGAATCGGGGAGTGACTGGCACACAAAAAGGACAAATTGTGTGGCGAATTGAGCCTGGCCCCTACTTCATGGAATGTAAGTACCTGTTAATGCAGTACATATTCCAAGGCAGGTCAACAGGGTGGCATTTGATATCCATTTCATCAGTCCCTCTGATAAAGCAAACAAATTGATTGTATTGCTCTTGAGGAGGAGCATTTTCCAGTGCTGGACATGATAAAAACGAAGTTGAGCTTAGATGTACATTTGTATTCTAGTGATGTTCTTGGACAGCACATTTCACTTTAAGGGAGGAAGGAGTTGCCATTGTGTGGTGTGGTGTAGTGTACAAATACACATTGAAAGATGAAGTCCCTTCCCACAGAAATTCCAAATTTCAGCTGGACAAATGTTAATGGTAAGTGTGTGTGAAGGACAAGGTAGTAAGCTAACAGCTCTTGCTGATGTTTATTAGTGGGAAGGTTGGATTTGTCTCTAGGAAGTGCCAATGTCCTGTTCAGTTGCATCAGGATTTGTTGCACTGGAAAATCCGCTGGGCAGTTTGGAAATACTGAGAGTGTCTGTGTGACTGAAATAAAAAGCCTTTGGTTGAACTGTGTAAGGACTTGTTGGTAGTCAAGCTTCAAACTGAAGAGCTACACTACTCCCTCAGACAACCAGGATTTATAGGAAGCTGAGCTACTCTGCTGTGGGCTGGGTTTTCTTCTTGTTTTTTTTCCTTTTTGATGAAACTGTGCTATCCTACCATATGAAGCATATAATCCCTGAAGAAACTGAAGTTCTAATCATAGGATGTTGTATCAGAGCTTGCTGGAAACTCTGATGTGCCAAGCATCAAAGTGGCAATCAGTCCCAGAAGAGCTCTGTGTTGCTCTACCACCTGTTTAGCCTCACAGTAATGAATCCTCTTTCATAAGTAAAAAAAAAAAAAAAAAAATACTCCCACTCTTTACTTTACTGCAGTGAAGTAAAGCACTGCAGTGCTGCTTACTGTAGGTCTTGGCAGAAATTTTTATTCTAATTAACTGATAGAACAGTAATACATGTATTTCAAGAGGTGTTGTATACCCTGTACTAAAAATAAATATTAAAGCTTCCTATTTCTAGATCTCATCATTGAATCTTGCCAAGTTGCCCTATGTGTTACACAACACACTTCTCAGAAAAAAAGAAAAAAAAAAAGAGCCTAAATAGGATAAAATTAAATTCCATTTCAGGAGTTCATTACATTACAACGATTGAACCCAATACAATGCTCAAGAAAATAATAAAGATAATTAACTTCCCTGGTGCCAAAGACACCGGTATATTAAAGCAGATTAAAATGTTTGTTCTCATCTTTCTTGTACACGAACTCCATCAGTATTGTTGCCAATGTGGGCAGTTTGACTTCAAGGATGTTTGTATCCTTTATCTCTTTATGTGTTGCTCTACAGTGTATTGAGATGAGGCTCTTGAATAATACTTCCAGTTCAGGTGAGTAACCCAAACTAATGCTTCAAGAACTGCTAGTTTGGACTCAAAATCAGCTGCAGCAGACTTAGCACTTTGCAACTAACTGCACATCACAGCTGAAAGGAAGTGCAGGATTTTTCTTCTTTGGTCATGGTGAGCTTCTAATAAACAGCTCTGCTGCTATACTATGAACAAGAGACAAGCAATTGTGCAGCAGCTGAGAACTGTAAAAAGGAATGTTTATGAACATATGTTGCTATAGCACATGGTATGGTAGATAAATATGTCACCAATGACACCTGTGTTTTGAGTGAGAGGTCAAAAACTGCACTGAAACACTACTGAACTTCTGATTCCACTTTTTAAACAAGAGGTCTCCACAGATCTGTGACCATGTCTGCTCAGCAAGGCTTTTCCTTGTAACTTGCAGGTGGTGAAGCAACACTGATGAAACTACAGGCAGCTGCTGTTTTCTTTTACTTTTCTGTTCCTCAGCTCCCTAAATCCCAGCGGGGCAAACGCAGCAGGTGGCTGCGCCTTCAGGTAGAGCCGCGGTGTCGCTGCGGTGCAGCGCCGGGCTGGCTGTGGGAACAGCCGTGCTGCTGGGCTCTGAGCACGCCCTGCACACCTGTCACTGCCCAGCCTGTGCCAGCCACACATCCACACTTAGCTCCCCTGTTAACCTCCTCTTGTGGTGCAGATAGGATTTGTCTCTCAGTACAGCACTGCATGTGATGCCGCTGTCACAGCAAGAGGGAGGGACAAATGAAGAGTCTGACGCTAACAGTAAACATGTGCCAGATTATTAAATTTAAGGTGTTTGTGATGCATTAATCTGTCCCTGGTGGGGTTTTTGGGGTCCCTTTGGGATCCCTAAGACTGCTTCTGCAGCCCTCAGAGACAGGGCAAGTTCTCGAGCCTTGCCCAGATAGAATTTTGGCTCGTGGTGAGCTCCCAGACCAGCGGGGTGAAGAGACCGGGATATGCAGAAAGGCACAAATCCATGGTTTGTTCTATGAAGGCATCCACTCTAGCATATTCAATGGTTAGGGTTTTCCAGAGGTTTTTATATCTTTTAAGGGTTTTGCAGTTTGCACCAATTACCAAGGCAATTCTACATTCTGACCAATCCCCGAGGGATTTCACATTCAAAGCTAGCCTATGGATGCTAAAAGAAAATGAACCACTAATACTGAGGATAGATAAGAGGGTCTACCAAGGGGGGGAAGCTGGATTCCTTTTTGTATTTGGCATTTCACAAGCCACTTTCTTATCTTTAAGCTATGGTTTTCCAAGGGGCTTGTTCTGAGGATGCAGAGGGACTTTCTTCTTTATGAATGTTTTCTGCTTCCTTCACATTAATCCACCATTGTTTTCCAAATTTCAGAAAGAGCTCTCCAGTTGTAGGTTTCTTAAGTTTAGAAATATCTTTGCTGAGAGGCAGAATATATGAGATACAGGTCGTGGTATGTGGGGTTTATCATATTTACTCCTCACAGTAATGACATTCAGCAGACCATTAGCAACGTCCTTGAATTTTTAAAGCAGCAGATCCATAAGCAGGACCAGCATGAAGAAAATGTGTAAATGGATCAACCTAAACTCAGTTGGGGACTAGCCACAGCATAGGAATACTCACTGCATCCAGTCTTCTCTCAACTGGGAGCAGCACTTGATTTGCTCAAGTGTGGTTTTTATTGAAAGCTTTCAAGGACAAAAATTTTGTAGATGCTGTAGTTAACTTGTTCTAGTGCTGCAGTATTGTTCTAGCTAAAAAGATTTCTGTGACATCCAATATGAATGACTGTAGCTTAAATTTGGGGCCATTGCCCCTTTTAAAATCTCTGATAGAACTGGAAAGAGTAGAGATAGTAACATTTGTCTAGTCTGGTGAAGAGGAAGTTAAGGCAAAACAGGGCCAACTCCTTTAGCCTCTTCTCATATGTCACATTTTATCCATCCCAACCACCTTTGTAGCCCTCTGCTCTTCACTCTGTTTTCCCCGTGCTCTCGAACCTAGGGACCCAAAACTAGACACAGTAATCCTCACCAGTACCAAGCAGAGGGGGACAGTATTTAATTGCCACCCTATATAGTGTGAAACCTACATGATTGCAGGTTCCTTGCTATATACTGTGAATCCTATGTGATTGCAGGTTCTCTGCTCTACCTGTACTCAAGGGAGAGGAAGGGAATGTTTTCTGCAAGCCTGAGAAGCATTGAACCTGCCCTGGCAATGAGAATTGATGATGCTCATTAACAGAGTTATGTTAAGTAGCTACAGTAATCCTTTAGTATTCACACTCAAAACTGGCCTGAAGTTGTCATGTCTTTTTGGGAAGAAAAGGAATGTAAGTTACTAATGTTGGATAATGAGCTGTGCTCAGTCAGCATGCACACAACACCAAAAACTCTGGATGTGGATTTTCCCTGGCAGTGTCAGAGCCTAAGGACATTATGTATCTGTTCTCCAGTAACATCTCTGGAAGGCAAAGTGCAGAGAATTATAGCATTGCTAATGAGCCGTATGCAAACAAATCTCATGCAGAAGGAGTATTTCCATTTTAATTGCATTAATGTTCATCAGTGGGAGTCAGCTGGGTTAGGCCTTGGACTCCTGCAAAAAGATTTGTATCTTTTAAGAAAAACATCTTATGCCTTGATTTGGGAAGCTGTTTTCCAATAAGCATAATTGTAAATTTGTTTACAGTTTCACCAAGGTCTCTCGAACTTATGATTATGTTTAAAGGTAGGCTTGGATAAACATTTTTCTGAATTTCGCATTACTGTGTGCCTGCAGTCTTGTAACTTGCTGTTAAGATCACTTAATTTATTCCTCTTAAAAATCCCTTCCTAGGGATTCAATATCTCCTGTTTTTCCAAGAAAGTAACATGTAAAGGCATAGTTTGCCATCTACTCCATTCAGATCAAGCAACCTGCAGAAAGAAGGGAGGGGAGAGTCTCCTCTTCATACTAAAAACAGATGTTGATTCCCCTCAAAGCATCCAAAATTAGCAGAAGAAGGATGATCAAAGAAAACTCAATTTGCCTTGGACAAAAATCAACACAAAAATTCTGTAGGCTCTGCCCTGGAAGGGAGAATCAAAGGAATCCACAGTGAAATAAAGAGAAATGATCTTAATGTATTCCAGAAAAACAAGCAGCCTCTGAGGGGAGTGGCTGAGGAAGGGGAGGGAGGAAATATTATGCAGAGGAGAAAGAAAATATTTGCAAAATACCAAGTCCAGCTCACCATCACAAACAGTCAGTGTCCTTAAGATGTCACCTCGAGATGATGTGAGTGGCTCTGAACTGCAGAGCCAGCCAGTACAGAGGCAGGTGTTCCTTTTCCTTGGGGAAGAAGCAAAAGTGCTTTGTAGGCATGAAAGGGAACTCAGTCATTTTAGACATTCAAGAAGGTGAGCCTGAGGATCAATATGCCTGATATGCTGTTTCCTCACATAGCAGAGGTGGGTTTCAAACATCCTGCTCTGATGCTTGCTGAAATGTGAGTGAAAGAAAACAATGACTCACCATATGGCTCCATCCGTTTTTGTTTTGCTGTGTAAACTACAGAAGGTTTTCTAAACCCAGCTCTACGATTTTCATCCTCCTGTAA